TCGTAGCAGCTCTGGGCCTAGCCGGTTTGACGCACATCCCTTGCCTGGCGCATGTGCTGAATTTGGTGGTGCAGAAATTCCTGAAAAACTACCCAGATATATTAGAGCTGCTGCGGAAAGTGCTGGCCGTCTGTGCACGCTTTCGGCGTTCTCACCCTGCTGCTGCTCGCCTGTCTGTGCTGCAGCGTAACTTCGGCCTTCCCGCTCACTGCCTCCTATGCAACGTGCCCACAAGGGTGAACTCCACCTTGCACATGCTGGAGAGACTGTGCGAGCAGCAGCAGGCGATAGTGGAGTTTCAGCTGCAGCACGCATGGGACAGTCGCTCTGCGGAACAGCACCACCTTACCACCAATGAGGGGGCCTCCATGCGAGACCTGTGTGCCATGTTGTGCTGTTTTGAGTACTCCACCAACATGGCCAGTGCCGATGACGCTGTTCTCAGCCTTACTATCCCGCTTCTATGTCTCCTTGAAAAAACGCTTCGGGCGATGATGGAAGAGGATGTGGCACAGGAGGAAGAGGAGGAGGAAGAGGGGTCATTTCCACGGTTATCAGGCCAGTCATTCACAAGTGGCTTGGAGGGTGGGTTCCTGCACCAGCATAGGCCAGGTACACAATTGTCCAGCCAGGGCACAGTTCTGGAGGATGAGGAGGAGGATGATGAGGATGAGGAGGAGGAACCGTGTTCACAGCATGGTGGCACCCAACGCAGCTCATGGGCATCACTGGAGCGTGGCTGGGGGGATACGGAGGACACAGACGATACACCTCCCACAGAGGACAGCTTGTCCTTGCCTCTGGGCAGCCTGGCACACATGAGCGACTACATGCTGCAGTGCCTGCGCAACGACTGCCGAGTTGCCCACATTCTAACTTGTGCTGATTACTGGGTGGCCACCCTGCTGGATCCCCGTTACAAGGACAACGTGCCGTCCTTAATTCCCTCACTGGAGCGTGATCGGAAGATGCGCGACTACAAGCACATGCTGGTAGATGTGCTGCTGAGGGCATTCCCAACTGACACCGGGGGCTCAGTGGAAGCACAAGGCGAAGGCAGAGGAGGAGGAAGAGGTCGCCAACGCAGCTGGGGCACCGCCAGCACCTCAGAAGGCAGGGTTAGCATGGCCGAAATGTGGAAAAGCTTTGTCAGCACGCCACAACAACCAGCACCACCATCTGATATGGAACGTCTTAGCAGGAGGCAGCATTTCAGCAACATGGTGGAACAGTACGTGTGCACATGCCTACACGTACTGACTGATGGGTCTGCCCCATTCAACTTCTGGGTCTCCAAATTGGGCACATGGCCTGAGCTTGCCCTTTATGCCTTGGAGGTGCTGGCCTGCCCTGCAGCCAGTGTATTGTCTGAACGTGTGTTTAGCACGGCAGGGGGCGTTATCACAGACAAGCGCAGCCGCCTGTCCACAGCCAACGTGGACAAGCTCACATTTATTAAAATGAACCAGGCATGGATCCCACCAGACTTGTCTGTACCTTGTGCAGAATAGACATTTATACCGGCCTCACCCAGCCATTGTTATACTCAAGTGCACTTATTCTTTGTTTTCTTTTTTTATATGTCCCAATATTTTGGGGGCTACCCCAATAAAAAAAAAATAAAAAAACAAAAACAAATAAAAAACAGTGTTGGCTACCTCCTCCTCCACCACCGCTGCTTCCACCTACACCGCCACGGTCACCGCCTCCTCAACCTATGGGTCACTTAGTATAAACTATGTACACAATAGCAGAGGCTTGTGAAGGCCTTTTCTCCATGCATCAGGAGTTGAGCTCAGTTTGAACAATGAAAGAGAATACCCTGCACTCCAACCCTCTCTCAAATGGATAATTCTGGTGATCCTCCTGACAGCCATGCTTTAGATTTTGATTTATGTTCTTCCAAAGCTAAAATCAAAGATTCCATCTAGTGCTATTTTATGGCTCAGCTGTATTTTTAATTTTTAGGTAGTTTATTTTAAGTGATTTCCCTATCCATATTTGTTTGCAGGGCACTTGTCCTACTCTTATCCCCATTTTACTTCCTTTTGCAGCCCTCTAGCCTTTTCCAGGACTTTTTAAAAGGCATTTTAGTGCCCAAAAGTTCGGGTCTCCATTGACTTCAATGGGGTTCGGGGTCAAGTTTGGGTCAAGTTCGAGCCTGAACTCGTTGAACCCGAACATCCAGGTGTCCGCTCAACTCTACAGGGGAGGTCTTGAATGGGCAACAGGGGTAGAGCCCTGGATAAGGGGTGAGTATCATATATATAGGTTGCCATTTTCTGTGAGAGGTTTAGCCATCTTAATAATCTCAGCTAGGAACAGCTTACCTGCCCTGTTGCCAGAGCTTGTTTTTGGCCAGAGACTCCATGGATATTGATAGTGTCCTAGCAGCTCTTTGGCCTGAGGCCCTTCAGGATGGCGAGACTTAGCTGCAGGCCCAGCTTGCTCGCCTGCAGGCTGCGTCCCCCAGATGCCAGAGCCCCTTTCTTGGGCTGTGGGGGGTTCAGCCGGTGGGCCTGGATCCCTAGGGCGTATGCAGCCCCCAACGTTCTTGTCTCTCTATTGCTGGCCGCCAGGAGGTCGGAAGTGACCTGTGCACCGTGCTAGGATGCCCAGCACGTGTCTTGCTCGTCAGTCAGATGGAGTGCCGTCGGGCCTCCGGGAGGGTAAGTAGGCCTCAGAGAAGATCTGGAAGGGGGAGTTCATGGAGATATTCTTTTTGCTACCTCTGGAGGTTCTCCCTCCATCCGATAAGGAGCCCAAGGACTTCTAGAAGGATTGGGAAAAGTTCTGTTACTGTAAAATCCCCAAAACATTTGTCAATTGGATTTGGGCTTCTATCTTGACCAGCGTGATAGAGGAAAAATCCCCCAGAAAAATGCTCTGCCCTGTTTTGCTACTAGGATTTAGTTTGGAATGCGTGCCAGGTGTATGGGGGTTTAAGCTGGTGGTGCAATGACAAGCAGTTTCAGCAGCGGCTGGCGGTTCGCCCATCCACAGGGTAGGACCAGAAGGACATTGGGCTTCAGTTGTCAATTATGACACGTCTGGCTTTGCATTAAGGTGGTCTGTCATCCTTTCTCGGGGTCGGGGGTGGTGCAGGGGGCTCTTTGCCACTCTAAGTGGGGTGCCAGCTGTAAGTTTAAACACGAGTGCTTCATGTGTGTGGGGGGACACTCTGCAGCCAAATGCTTCAAGCAGGATAGATCGGGAGCCAAAGGAGACACAAGGGGATTGAAAGGGGAAGGACGTCGCAGGATTGGTAGGTGGGAATAGGGGAGGTCTAGGTCTTACATGCCCCCCGCTGGGCTGATTTTGTGTCCTGCTGTCTTCTCTCTGTAGGTCCTGAGTGATGCATTTGGCTGACTGGACACTCCTATGTGTTTTGGGCCCATCGACGTGCTGGTGTCCGGCCAGGTGGGCTTCGTCTGGGGCTATCTCCTGCAGTGGCAGACGTCCATTCTCAAGGCATGCAATGGGTTCATCTTCTGCCTGAACTGGTCCAATTGTTCCATTTGCTAGGAGTGCCAGACGTCTTGGTGATCCATCTTGGAGGCAAAGACCTAGGCAATTCCCCAGTATTGGGGTTGGGGACATGATTAGGTGGGATTTAGCGCAGGTACTTTTACTTTTCCCAGATGTGTCTGCCTAGTCTGGTTGGATATGGTATCCTGGAACTATTGGCTTTGCACCAAGGATCAGCGTGTGAGGGAAAAAGGAGAGTGTCTAAATTTATATGAGGGGTTGGGAGCATTGCGATTTGGCATCGTGTTTGGAGTGATGGGGTGCATCTCATGGAAGTTGGGTTAGATCTGTTTACCCTTGCCTTGCAAGGTGCTTTGGAGGAGGCCATGGCTAGTTTGGTGACACGGCTCAACTGATTTTAGAGTTAAAACAGCGGGGGCTTGTAACTGAAAAGGTCCCTTTTTAATTAGGGTTGGAACAGCATTCCAGTGGAAAAAGAATGATTGGGGCTGACCCCTCCCTTAACATCGGTTATGATTATGGGTAATGTACATGCCCCCTGAGCCAGAGGCAGTTAATGTTAGGCTAGTTGTGAGGCCTGTTTTTGTATAGGACGAGAGGGGAGGGCAGGTGCCCAGGATCAGCAGGAATGATTGGCAAGGGTGTTGAGTTGTTAATGTTTATGGTTACATTATGTTAATGTATGGTGTTTAATAAATTAATGTTATTTTTTTATATTAATAAAGCTCTGGCCTGTTTGTCACCATCAGCGTCTTGCATCTGTTTATAAAGGTAAGCTAATAAATGGATATTCTAATCTACACGGTCCCCACTACCGTCACACATTCCCCTTACTCTTTCCTCTCTGTGCTGTTCGAGCAAGGCACATCATCGCTAAGGTTTTCGAAGCTGGGCAGCTGCAGGCTGCAACTTCAGTGATGAGGCTGTTCCTAACAGCACATAAGCACAGTGCAAAAACCAAGCCTTACACTCCTCAGGGAAGTTGCTGGTTGGTGGCTGCTGGCAAAGTCTGGGGACCTTACAGCCTGGCAGGAAGCTCTCTAAATACCAGACAACCATCTAGAAGCAGCAACAGTTACAGTTTTACAGTCAGCACTACTAGGCTACAGAGGTAAGCAGATACAAGTTGAGGACTAGTGTGTAGATTTATCTAGTTATTGAATTGTGCATGGTATATGGAGCTTGGATTTGGGTAGAAAGAAAAGGAATGGTGGATTGTGGTGGAGAGGAATATGGAACTATGTAGTGGATAAAGGGGGGGGGTTGTAGTAAAGAACATGTTGAATAGATATATGAAGGTGCTGGGTGTAAATGGGAACAGAGTTTTGGAATATGGAGTGGAGGCGTATGAAGCTGTTTTAT